TTATTAGCCTGATCTGGAAGCACTGTGTGAGAGTAACGAGCAACATGCATGACTGACAGAAGTTAAACTAAGGAATCAACAGTTTTCCTCAGTAAGGAAACAAATCTTAAAATGAAATTAAAACTCAGTTTGTTATGCGAAACATAACATATCCTGTCATCGTCTGCAGGAACGCCTTATCTTAGAAGATTTCAGGATAATGTAGGTGAACAAAGCTGTGGTGACACCGTCACGGAGAGGACGTCTCTATGTGTAGACAGGCTTCATTCATTTGATACTCAAACTCTGGCCATCTTGTTTTGGCTGATCTTGTTTGAATTTGCGCTTCTTCTCAACTGACAGTAAAATCAGATCAGCGTGCACGGCTGTAAGCCTGCTGCCAACTAACCACCACCACGGCAGGTGGACACGAGCACTTTCAGTGCAGTTTAAAACACTAAACACTACACAGACGTGCAGATACACGTATTCAAATAGGTCACATGACTTTGATTACATTGGTTATTACATTTGAACAGTGTAACTAGTGATCTATAAAACTATTAGATTCAAAGTAACCTTCACATCACTATCCTTAAGACAAATACTTCCAGCTAACCTTATCTGTGTATCACTATGAATGTATGCCAACCAGTAACTAACCACACGCGTGCCTTTCTGCTCAGGTAAATCATGTTTTCATTGGGTCTTCTGTGACACTTTGCCTACGCCTGCTTCTCGTACGTCTCTTGTGTCGACTTCAACGAGACGGCCGATTGCAGCTGCTCTCCAAGAATGCACTTTGAGTGAGGCGAGGTAGAACGAGTAAACACGCTGAGCTAAGCAACAGTAACCAGAACCAAACACATACAGATGTATAAAACATACGAGTGACTCACACACTGACTATTTATATAACCTTAACTCAAGCTTGCAACTCAAGTTTGACTCTAAACTGGGCTACAAGCTATACGTGGAAGTTCTGAACAATGTTTTGGAAATACTACAGGTGGGTCAAACAACAAGAAAAATGTACATGTTAAGCATGAATTTTAGATCACATCATTCCCAGGAAAATGAGTAATTCCTAGGTTTGGGAATCACACCTGTGAGCAACAAACTACACTGAAACAATCTCACCAGTCTCACAAAGGGCTCAGATGTTTTTGATAAATCACAAGTGACATACAACAGAAGGAAAACCAGCTGACAAAAAGAAAAAACAAGAGAAAAAAAAAGGAGGAACTGATTCTTATTGACCCAAAATAAAGAACACGTTGGGTGTTGAGCAGCAGCACAGAGCAGTATTCAAACAGCTGCAGAGCTCAATAATCAATGATGTTTATTTTAACCTCAGACTGACCAGAGTCTCAAAATGAAGAGAAAAACAGCTCAAGTTTTTGTGCTAAAACAGAATTTCTCATCATTTATTAAACATATAGAGGAAAAAAAGAAGGGGGGGGGTTAAGAAAAAAACTTAAACTGTTTTGGTCAGTTATCTGGTTATTTTCTCTTTTCACAGGAGTACATGTGTTACGAAAGGCAAAAAATCAAATAACTTCACATTTTAGGCATGCTAAGGTAAAAAGAAATTCTCCATTCATAATAAACAAAGATAAATATTTCAAAGAGTTGATCCTTGACTAAAATGTGCACACACTGGCACTGATGAAACATAAACACAGTCCTTGACTGACTCTCTTTTTCTGATATTGGATATCCTGCATGCTGTGAGGGCACGCTTTCTGAAAGAGGCGAGTTGTAAAGCAGACACCTCATTCTGCTCCTCTGTTTCAGCTGGGATGAAACTCTTCTGCAGCTCCGTTCACATCCTGCACTACCTGTGCAACATGAATGGGCTGCAGCTGCGGTCTCAAGATACAAGCAAGGACAAGGACACTAAAAAAAGTCAGGAGGACTGAGAAGAGAGAGCAATGATCTGCAAAACCACTGCACCTGAAATTGATTCACAACCGCTTGGTCTTCCCAACTGCACTGATATCTCTGAAGTTTGAACGGCTGTGTGTTATAGTGTAAATGCTGCCTTAATTTTGAGCAGATTTATTTCAAAGATTAATTTCACATTGTCCTCAAATTCTAATTCATTCTACTTTAGGGGATTTGGGGCAGAAGCAAACAACTTGGTAGTAAAGCCACAAACCAAGTGAGTGAGGACACCACAGGTAGGATGATCAATAATGGAGAAATCTATTTTTCTATTACACTACAGTATAGTTAAAATAATAGGATTTTTGATCAGTGGAACCATCACATCACATGATGAATATAAACAAGCTGAACGTCAAATCACTGCAAAACAATCTTTAAAATCACTCGTGTTGAGTAGCAAAGTAAACTGAAGCTTAAAGGCCCTCCGATCTCTGCGTGTTTGTTTTCTGTAATGTAATTATCCACATCCAACTTTCAGCCTGCAGGAGTGACATTGATGAGTCTGTGTCACGGTGACACTGTGAAATTGTCACGGTGACAGCCACTGAAAAGGACGAGGAGCTCACACCAAAAAGGCAAACGGTGGTTTCAAAGAGCCGTTTCCGTGACCGTGTCTCGGTTGTTTTGGGATTACCGGACAGCAGCCAAGCGGCTAACTAACTAGCTTATGTAGCTGCCCTGCTAACCTGACAACCCGGCCGGCCCGGCTCAGCCTCCGACAACCTGCTGGACTCGTTCCCAGGGCGAGGTCTCGCACGGATAATGGTGTCTTTTCACGCTCTCAGGTGCACCTTACCTTGTCGCTGATATTATCGGCGCTGTCAGGGTCTGCTCCGCCTCCGCCTCGCTTCCTCAGCTCCGTCATATTTCTCTCGTTTCTCCGCCGGGACGTGAATGTGTCACATAAGCCGACTCCGAGGGAAGGGAGGAGGGAGGGAGAGTGGGAGACAATCCGCTCTTCGTGTTCGGGTTTTTTCAGCCGGTCTGATTTCTCGGTGCCGGTCGAGAAGGTCAGCTTCCCTGAAAGTCAGCCAGTGCTGCTGCACAGCCCCACAGACACTACCGACTCCACTGCGTGTGTTTGTTTATGACCGCAATCCCTGTTCTCCTCCTACCGCCGACAAGCTAACGGAACAAGGACAGACAACTTCCTGTAGGGACTTTCAAAATAAAAGGTCTACTTAAAATGGAATTTTCTTGGTTTACTCCTGTTAAGATGTTTGCTTCGGAAATTTAAGCCCTTTAATGGTTTGACGCAGAGTCCTGTTGGTCGGCGTGTGCAGACTTCCTAAAAGACGCTCAAGTTTTGCTCAATAAAGGTTTAAAGCATATAAAAACATATCAAAACATTCTAATGTTGTAGATTTTCATTTTTTTAATCCTATATATCCATTTTCTTCCATTCATTCAATTAAGACTTGGGCTGGAGCTGCTGACTGTCACAGATAGAAAGGTTACCGGTCTGTCACAGGGCTAACACAGAGAGAAATCATTTACACCTACAGCCAGTTTAAAGTCACCTGTTACCCTACAAGCTCTCTTTCCCTCCTTGGAGTTTATGTTTGTGATCCTCTACTAGCAGGGGTTTGATGATTCTGCAAAGCTGTTCCCACTCTTCTATGCAGAGAAGTTCTGTGCCTGGAATCTGCTGGAGCCACTGCAGCTCCTAATGCTGCTGTAAACACCGGGACCACTTTAGACTTTATCTTCCACATCTGCTCCTTAAGCCCCTGGTCCTTCTCTTCCTTTCTTGTGCCCCTTCTTCCAGATATTTTTGTATTTTTCTTTGGACTTTCGGTCTTCTGTTATGTCAACATGAGTTCACCCAACACAGATCTGCCCAAACTGTTGTTTTTATACTGGATCTATTTCTAGTCAAAGATCCTAAAAAATTTTTAACTACAGAGCTCACTGTAGAAGCACAGATCAAAAAGATTGTCCAAAACTGTTTTTTTCTTTAATGAAATTAAATATCATATTTACAGTCAACTTGAGCACTCAAAGCACTCCATGGATTATATAGAATTACCTGCAGAAACCTATGGAAACTTTATGGGTGTTCAAGAAAAAGACAAGCAGACTCCAAAGTAAACCAAGCCTACACCCTGCATTTCATGTTTACCCCTGGAGAAATCCTAGTAGTACAAATATTAGCTGAAGTCAAACCTCGGAGAAGTATAAAAA